TTGTTTAATGAGGTCCCATTTGTTGATTCTTGACCTTGTTCCCTGAGCAATTGCTGTCCAGTTTAGAAAATCTTTTCCTACACCTATATCTTGTAGGTTATTGCCAGTGTTTTCTTCTGGCAGTTTGAGAGTTTCAGGCTCCACACTGAGGTCTTTGATCTATTTGGAGCTGACTTTTGTGCAAGGTGAAAGTTAGGGGTTTAGTTTTCATTCTTCTACAGGTGGAGATCCTGTTTTGTCAGCACCATTTGCTGAACATGCTGTCTTTCCTCCAGTGAATGTTCTTGGCTCCTTTGTCAAATATCAGGTGGCTGAAATTGCATGTACTCCTATTTGGGTCTTCAATTTTCTTCCATTGATCTACATGTCTATTTTTGTGCCAGTACCACGTTGTTTTTATGACTATAGCTCTGTAATACAGTTTAAAATCTGGTATAGTAACCCACCCAGCATTGCTCTTAGTGCTCAGGTTTGCTTTGGCTATCCGAGGTCTTTTGTGCTTCCATATGAATCTTAGGATGGTTTTTTCCAATTCTGTGAAGAATGTCAGGGGATTTTTATTTTTGATTGGAATTGCATTGAATCTACAAATGACTTTTGGTAGGATGGTCAGTTTTACAATTCCTCCAATCTATGAGCATGGGAGGTCCTTCCATCTTCTGATGTCTTCCTCAATCTCTTTCTTTAAAGATTTAAAATTTTCATTGTAGAGCCCTTTAATGTCTTTGGTCAGGTTTATTCCAAGATTTTTTTTTTTTTGCAGCTATTGTGAAGGGGAGTGTTTCCATGTACTCTGATTGCTTATTATTGGTATATAGACAGTACAGACTTTTGTAGATTAATTTTTTAACTTGCCACTTTACTGAACATGTTAATAATTTCTGTGAGTTTTCTGGTGGAATTTTTGGTGTCTCTTAGATATATCATATCACCTGAAAAGGGGGATAATTTGATTTCTTTTCCAATTATTACTCCTTTAATTTCCTTCTTTTATTGCTCTTGCAAGAGTTTCAAGCACGATGTTAAAGAGGAATGGAGATAATGGATATCCTTGTCTAGTTCCTGTTTTTAATGGAAATGTTTCCAGTTTTTCTCTGTTTAGAAAGATGTTGGCTGTGGGTTTGTTCTATATAGCTTTAACTCTGTTGAGGTATGTTCCCTCCAGTCCAATTCCCTCTAAGACATAAATGCATGTTGAGTTTTGTAAAAGGCCTTCTCTGCATCTGTTAAGATGACCATGTGGTTCTTGTCTTTGAGTCCATTTATATGATTTATGACATTTATTGACTTATGTATATTGAATCATCCCTGCATCTCTGGAATAAAGACGACTTGATTATGGTGGATTATATTTTTGATGTCTGCCTGTAGTGTGGTTTGCAAGTATTTTGTTGAGAATTTTTGCATCTATGTTCATTAAGGACATGGGTCTATGGTTTTCTTTTTTGGTTGTGTCTTTACCTGGCTTCGGTATTAGAGTGATGCTGGCTTCAGAGAAGGAATTTGGAAGTTCTCCCTCCTTTTCTATCTTTTTGAATAAATTAAGTATATTGAATATAGATCTTCTTTATATGTCTGGTAAAATTTTGCTGTAAATCCATCTGATCCTGGGCTTTTTGTAGTCAAGAAGTTTTGTATTACTGTTTCAATTTCCTTATGTGTTATGGCTCTGTTCATGTTGTTGATCTCTTCTTGGTTTAGTTTTGGTGGTTCCCATGCTTTTAGATACCCATCCATTTCTTTCACGTTTTCAAATTTAGTAGCATATATGTTTTATAGCATTCCCTTATAATGTTCTGGATCTTTTGGGGGTCTATTGTGACGTTTCCCCTTTCATCTCTCATTTTGTTGATTTGGGTTTGTTCTTTCTTTCTTTTGGTTAACTGGGCTAAGGGTCTATCTTGTTTATCTTTTAATATCTTGTTGATCTTTTCAAAGAACCAGCTCTTGGATTCACTGGTTATTTGTATTGTTTTCTTTGTTCCTATTTCATTAATTTCTGCTCTGATTTTTGTTATTTCTTCTTGTCTGCTGGATTTGGGTTTCGTTTGTTGTTGCTTTTCAAGTGTCTTGAGTTGCAATGTTAAGTAATTTATTTGTGTTCTTTCTTATTTTTTAATGTAGGCATGTAGAGCTATAAACTTTCCTCTAAGGACTGCTTTCAACATGTCCCAGAGGCTTTGTCATGTTGTATTGTCCCTTTCATGTAGTTCCAGGAATACTTTTCTTTCTTAATTTCTCCTTTGACCCATTCATCATTCAGGAGTGTGTTGTTTAATCTCCATGTGTTCATGTAGCTACTAGGATTTCTCACAGTGTTGATTTTAAGCTTTATTGCATTGTGGTCTGATAGAATGCATGGAATTATTTCAATCTTTTGTTTTTGTTGAGGTTTCTTTTGTGCCTCAGTATATGGTCGATTTTGGAGACAGTTCCATGGGGCACTGAACTGAAAGTATATTCTTTGGTGTTTGGGTGGAATATTCAGTAGATGTCTGTTAGGCCCATTTGATGTATGGTATTAGTTCACATATCTCTCTGTTAATCCTCTGTCCTGTTGATCTATCTAATGGAGACAATGAGATATTGAAGTCCCCTATTATTAATGAGTTGGGATTAATCTGGGTTTTAAAGTCATGAAATACTGTTTTTATGAAGTTGAGTGCACCAGAGTTTTGTGACTATATGTTCATAATTTTAATATCTTCTTGGGCAATTCTTCCTTTGACCAGAATGAAGTAGCCCTCTTCATCTCTTATGATTAGTTTTAAAGTCTATTTTGTCAGATATTAGAATCACAATTCCTGCTTTTTTCTTAGTACCATTCGCTTGGTATATTTTTTTCCATCCTTTCACCTTAAGGTAGTGTCTGTTCTTGAAACTGAGATGAGTTTCTTACAGACAACTAAAAGATGGGTTTTGTTTCTTAATCCATTCAACTAGTCTGTGTCTTTTGACTCGGGAGTTCAGTCCATTGATATTTATAGTTATTAATGAAAGACGTGTATTGATTCCTGTCATTTTTATTTCTGTTTACATTCTTGGTGTAGCTGTGCATTTCCACAGTTATACCTTCAATGAGCTCCTTTCTGTAACCCCTTGTGTATAGTCTTTACTTTCTTCAGCTCTGAATTGCTTCAAGAACTCTCTGAAGGGCTGGTTTTGTGGACATGAATTCTTTCAGCCAATTTATGTCATGGAAGATTTTTCTTTCCCCTTCAACTATAATAGACACTTTCTAATCTGGGTTGGCATCTGTGGTCATTTATAACTGGGAATACTTTGGTACAGGCTCTTCTGCCTTTCATTGTTTTCACTGAAAAGTCAGCTATAATCCTAATGTGTTTTCCTTTACACGTGACTTGTTTTTCTTTTGCAGCTTTCAGTATTCTCTCTTTGTTCTGTACGTTTAGTGTTTTTGTTATGATATGCCATGAAGAGTTTCTTTTCTGTTCCTGTCTATTTGCTGTTCTATATGCTTCTTGTATTTGAATGGGCATGTCTTTCATTAATTTTGGGAAATATTCTTGTACAATCCTGTTGAAGATCTGGTCCATACCATTATCTTGGGATTCTTCTGCTTGCCTATGCCTATGATTCGTAAGTTTTGTCTTTTTATGGTGTCACACAATTCCTGCATATTCCATTCTGTGCTTTCTTAAATTTTTCATAATCTTTGCTTGAGTGGTCAAGTTCATCCACTTTATCTTCCAGTCTTGATATTCTGTTTTCCATTTCATTCATCCTATTGATGAGACTTTCTTCCATCATTTCTAATTGGCTTACTGAGTGTTTCACTTCCTTCTTCAGCCTGAGTATTGTTCAATATTTTCAACTCTTTTCTGAATTCATTCAGAAGTTTATCCCTGTCTTCCTTCAGTTCTTTGATTTGTGTGTTCTTTAAATTCACTGACTTCTTTTATCATGTTTATAATAGTTCTTTTGAATTTCATGTTCTGTGTTATCTCTAGGGGGTTCTCATTGTACTCCTCTACAGGACTCTTGGTCTTACCTGGTGGGGATATATTATTTGAGTTTTTCACATTATTATTTTTTCTCTGTGACTTTGACACGTGGATTTCTTTTATAGTTTCTGATTCTTGTGTGAGATTCAAGCCTTCCTTTGTTGAGTTTAGGTCTGCTTCTTTTTGTAAACTTCATGTGCCTTTGTGGTTTAGTTGTTGGGCATGAAAAGCTGTTTTGGTCTAGGCTTCAGGTTCTCTTTTTTTATTTTATATTGGAGTGCCCAAATTGCTTTCATCTTCAAGAGTTCCCACAGAGGCCCAAGTCAGATGAGGATCAGATACTCTCAGGCTTTCTCCTAAGGTCTGGATCCTTCCAGGAAAGAAGCTGATTTCAGGAATTTGAGGGCTGGTGTGGTCTGGAAGCAGGGCCCAGGAAAGATGCTGGTCCCCGGAATGCAAAGGGAGGTGGGAACCAGAAGGGGCCCTGGGGCTCCTGGGGACTACAGGGAGGAACTGGGTTGATTGGGATGCAAAGGATCAGGAAGCAGTAGGGAATTTGGGCCAGAGGTCTGAGATGCCTAGACAAGAAATGTGCTAGGAGGAGAGATGGGGTGGGGGAGCTGGGAAGGTGAATGAGGCTGGGGGAGTCAACGTGCAGTGGGCACAGCCAAACTTACCCAGGAAAACTCACACACTGTGTCATCTTTAAGCAAAAATTTAGCTACTGTTTTAAATCAACAGAGTTACAACTCTTGTTACATTTTATTTTATTTTATTTTATTTTTTTGATCAGAACTGATATTTTATCAAGTATGTCAATTGCTATGATTATTAAGCAGCATTCAAAGCATACCCTTCCATACAGACAAAACGTATGAAAGAGTCATTGCAGAGATGCAGAATAGCTGATTATACACCATAACCTGATGCTGGGTTAGACTGCAGGAGCTCTGATACCACAGAGAACCAGAAACACCAGGAAGCCCAACCTCAAAATGGGGTTCCCCCATGAACAAAACCTCACAACACTGAGAATCTCTTGCAAAATCACGTTTTATTTTTCTGTGGCACAGAAATTGTGTGTGTTCATGTGAACTATTATTATATACATGAGTCAGGGTCAAGAAATAAGATTTATATGCTTCAAAGTACACTTCTGTGAAAACAAGTAATTTTGTACAATCAGCCCCTTCCTTCCTTCAATTTCACCTACTTAAATCCCATTCTCATCTCGTTCCCATAGGCTAAGGATTTCACCCAGCTTCTCTTCTCTTTCAAGTGAATTAACTCCCTTTTTCCTCCCATTTTTCCTACCGTTTCTGGTAATTTTTGTTACTTTCCTCTTTGCTTCCAGATGCCTCCCCTCTTTCCTGCTTCCTAGCCTGTGTCCCTTTACTTCCCCTTCCAGGATGCACTCAGCATATTGTTCTCTCCATATAACCAGCTAGCAGTTATTTCTGGGTATTTCTTAGGGTGTTGCTTAGCCTCAAGGCCAAGAACTATCATGGCAAGTTTTCTGTTGTGTCTTTAGCAAAACAGTGGGTTTCTCTCTCTCTCTCTCTCTCTCTCTCTCTCTCTCTCTCTCACACACACACACACACACTTCAACGTGGATCTGCTTCATTTTTGGTGAATGTCACATGATGAACCACACATCCCATATTAATCACATAAAGATGTTCAAGTGATCCACAGATTTTACCTTTAAGATACACAGACAAAACATAAAAAAGTCAATAAAATATTCTAGCCATACTGGGAATGAAGCAATTAGCAATATACAGTAATTCTGCAATCACGAAGTAGAAGTAGTTTCAAAGCTGTTCATAGTATCTTGCTCTAAAAATTTATCAAGTCCATGTCAGTGATCTGAAAGCGTGCAGGCTCATTCTTATATTGGTCAAATTGATGCTTAATACCTGTTGAAGATTTAAAAAAATGAAAAGAATATTGGATATTTGTTGTGTGAAACTTCCTGTACATAGACAAATAAGTTGCACATCACTGAGCCACATGGCCTTGATACCAACTACCCTTTTCTTTTCAGGTGAGAAGGGGTTTTCCTACTCCTTAGAGTACAAAGATTGTTCCATGGCAGGAATGGGCCTGGCAATAATTTAATTCACAGCCACTGAAGAGAAAGAACTGTCAGATAAATTGGAAAGAAGGCCCTCTTTCCCACTCTTCTGGGGTGCTGGTTTTCCAGAAAGATCTCCTTTTATTTCATCAACTTTTACCTCCTTGTGCATTCAGTGACTGCCCAGGAAGTCTGATATGCCTTCTTGCTTCTGGGCAAATACTCTGGGCCTCACTATATGAGCAGGTGTTAACTTTTCCATGAAAAGGTTCACAAAAGAACTGGAAAAAGTCCTTTAAGAAATTTGGGTAAACTTGGGAAAGTCGGTCGATAAGAAAACCACAGTATAAAGTGACAAAATTATAAAATTATAAAAGTGAAGCAAAACTTTCTTTCTGGCCTAGGAAAAAAAAGTCTCACATTCAGAAAAAAAAAAAAAAAAAAAAAAAGTGTGGTCATGGGAAGAAATTCTCCCACTGACCACCGGGTGACGTGCTGGGACCACAACACTGCATGAATTTCACATTTCAACTTTCATGACATAAGAGTAGATTTGTACTCAGCAACCCTCAAATTGCTCTAAGCCAGGCATTATCATGGTATGATTGCTGTTGTCTACACATGTGGGAACTCCACTGCTAACACTAGTGTTCTGAATGGATGGACTTCAAACCATCTAAAGCAAATTTCAGGAAGGAATGTATAGCAAGATTAAGAAAGTACTGGGGCAGGGGCTGGCTGGAGAGTAGCTCAGAGGTTAAAAGCACTGGCTACTCTTGCAGAGGACCTGAGTTCAGTTCCCAGCACCCACATGGAGGCTAACAACCATCTCTAACTCCAGTTCCCAGGGGTGTGACACCCTCTTGTGGCCTCCACTGCATAATACAGGTTCACTTACATAAATGCTGGCAAAATACATAAACACACAAAATAAAAATAAATTTTTAAAAAGATTCTTTAAAAAAAGAAAAAGTAGGCTAAAAACTTGTATCAAGTATATTTAGTGACTTCATAGAAAATCTCAGACTATAGTGTAGGAAACATATTAAGAAATGTTGAATTATAACACCCTTGGTAGGAGAGAACGATCTTAACTGATTTGAATCACATGCATTTATTTTAACTAATAATAAATAAATAAGATATGAAATAAAATATCTCAATACAAATTAATAGAATGTAAAAGAAAAGTATTGCAACATATTGGTTAAGGTATTTTAAATACCTCTTTATATTCCAAATAACCTTAATACAGAGTCATCATGTATTGCTAGCTAATGTTTTCCTCTCTCATGTCACTTAACATGTTAAAATATTGAGACAAAGTTCTATCTCAACAGAAGTTTCAATGAACTTCTAAGTTTAACATGGACAAACAGCCAGTGAGAAGAAAGACTTGTTTCATTGTTTTGTCGTGTGTGTGTGTGTGTGTGTGTGTGTGTGTGTGTGTGTGCCTTCTTCATGGCACATGAAATAATGGGCCAAATTTTATTATAGTTGACAGTGACTTGCATGTGACAAAATACAGTTCAAACTGTTTGAGAATTCTGTTGCTGAAAAACAGTGAGAAAAAGGACACGTTCCACTGAGGTTTGTGAATGAGAAGGTAGACGTGGAAAGTAAACATCTAGACCCTTGACTCCAAATAATAAGACATGGATTTTCCTTCATTGCCATGGTGTCCATGGCTGACACTGAAAACTATCATTCTAAAGAGTTTAGCATTGGAAAAGCATTGCACAAAACACACCAGGGCTGGGAATACCACTGGGGTTTTCAGTGATCACAAACCTGCATTGTGGGGTTATAGCTGAAGTCGGCAACTTCATTTTCATTATTGGTCCAAAAAATGGTCACACTAGTAATGGAGGAAGCATTCAATCCCCAGATATCAATGTAGCCCAGGTACAAAGGTCTGGTACCAGAGATGTACTTGCCAGTAGTTTCATATTTCTGCAATGTATTCTGTAAAATTGAAGATAAAACAGAAAAGAAAAACTATATGACCTAGTTCAGTTTTGTTCTCAGTGATCTTTCAGGCATAAATATAGATCGTGTAGAGAAATGGCCTGAGCCAGCATCTCATGTTCTCAGATAGTGAAAATCATGACTTCAGCATCCTGCCCCCCACTGCCCAGTCCCATCCACTTTGCACTGGTCAGCACCTGCCAGGTCTCTAGAATTGCCTTGAACCGTATATCAGACAAGTCTCAGCTATTAAGAAACATATTCAGAGCTGGAGAGATGGCTCACTGGTTAAGAGCACTGACTGTTCTTGAACAGGATTCAGGTTCAATTCCCAGCACCCACATGACAGCTAACATAACCATCTGTAACTCCAGTTCCGGGGGATCTGATACCTTCCTCTGACCTCTGCAGGCATTGCATGACACAGGTGCACTTATACACATGCAGGTGATACACTCAAACACATAAAATAAAATAATAAATATAATAAAAAAGAAACGTATATTCTTCAGATGGAGAGGTCACGAAATGTGAAGAACATTTCACGACAACATAGGAAGGAAGGCTAGATGATACTGAAATGGTCTTCCATCTGCGAAATGGTAAATTGAAAACACTCCTGATGCGAAATGAACAGATTCAATCACAGATCATGTCCTGGGAGCACAGAAAATCTCCGTTTGAGGGCTGGAAGAAGGGAGGAGGAGCAGGGAAGGAATCCTAGGAGAGATCTTGTATCCTTATGAGATCCGGCATCCTGCCAATCCAGCAGAACTCTATACTCCCTTCCTGCTGTCAGTCATACTCACCTCACCGACAGAAAATTTGGCCAAGTAATACTTCGAATCTGTGTAAAAATCTGCAAACAAAGAAAGAGGCAGATATAACCTGGGCTTGAGTTACAGAATTCTAATTGCCGACTTGCCTTAGCTGAAAGTAGGGGCTAGTTGTTTTTGTTTTAGTTTTCTTCTTTTCAAAGCTCACTTTTACAGTAGAAGTTCTCTCTGTCGACACTAGTCAGACTTTACAGTAATCTCCAAGTGGACACAAAATGTTTGAAATGAACATAGAGATGCAGTTGTCTGAGAGTCACCTCATAGAAGAGTCTCCTAACTAATCCCACTCTTAAACACTTCTCACGGTCTACCATACCAACATCTTCCCAGTCACCTCAGACTTTCCAGATTCTTTTTGCTAGACATACACAGCCATACATGTATACACATACGGCACTATGAGTGATGCCTTGGTTTACCTTGAGTGGTAACAATCTATTGTTTATTTTTATTTTATGTCTATAAGTGCTACACCTGCATGCGTGTAAGTGTACTTGTGTCCTGCAGTGACCACAGAGGACAGAAAAGGGCATTGAATTCCCTGGAACTGGAGCTATGGAGCTATTGTTAGCTGCCATGTGGGTGCTGGGACTCAAACCCCGTCTTTTGCAAGAACAGCCAGTGCTCTTAACCACTGAACCATCTCTCCAGCCCATAGCAGGCAGTTTTCAAATGTTAGCTCCAGAAAACATTTTTTAAAAATCCTTCTGTGTACTTTATCCATGATGTATGCCCCCAACCCAGGGAAAATGTGGTGTTTGGCAGCCTAGTGGAGGTGGACTCTTCAAGGAGCCTGTCTCGAGCAAGCTCCTGTCAGGGCTTCCTCTGTCTTCCCCAGTGCCAGCCTTTTCCTCCCCGACTCACCACTCCACCAGGAGACACTGGTTCCCACTGGAACTGTGCTACCCACAGCAGCGGGCGCCAGAAAAGCTTAATTATTTAGATGTAAATCAATTAAAGTTAAATAAAATCACACTTTAATTCCTCAGGTTCATTTGTCACATTTTAAGTGTTCAACAGACACATGTTTCTAAGGCCATGCTAGACATCAGAGGTTGTAAAACATCCCCTCACTGCAGATTGTGTAGCTCTAATGTGGAAATAACTGTGGGTTCTTGATTCATACTCCTAAGAGGATTTCAATTCCCCAAAAGTTCCGATAGAGAGTCCCTCAAATAAACAGCACATTTAGCATTGCCTTGCTAAGACAATTAGCCATGTAATTAGGGAATATGCCTTTGATCATAAATCTCATGAAAGTTTATCTCAGCTGGTAATAAATAAACTTTGCCTGAGGCTTCAGGCTGCAGCACCCCTCAGTGGATTAGGTCAGCTGATTAGCGCTCGGAGATTCTGAACTCAACACCATTTGCAATACACACGATACCAGAGAAGTAAAACGTGATCATATTTTAAAATGAAAACCTGTTTTCACATGGAGATGGAAAAGGCGGGCACACGAGATATCTAAGAACCCAGTCCGTGATGCGGGTCTGAGTCCAGCCAGCTCCTACTCACCAATGCTTTCTCCATCATCCCAGAAGAACCAACCCTCAGCTGTTCCGTTGCTATCCAAGGCAACCCTGAGGCCCACGTCTTTCACACGGCTGCAGAGAGACATGGGAGAGAGGTATTAGCTAAAACCAAAGCCAGAGTTATAAGCTAAGGCTTTTCGCAGAATCAAAGGAGCAAAATGACGTGATTCGTGGAGTAAAGAGTTGGTATCTGGATTTGAAAACCTGAAGAACTGCCTCTGCTTTTGTATTCATATAGATAAAAGACTTCATTCCTAGAATGAACCAATTTGTGAAAGAATTAAGGGAAGTTTTCCTAAAAGGCGCTTAAATTAAAAGCGGATTAACACGCTTTCTCCTTTCCTCCCCATGAGGAAAGTCCTGAGGCTGTAGACCCATTTCTAAGACACATGGAGGACAAGTGAACGAATGAGCAGATGAGCCACTGCATTCCTCCACAAAGCCTCTCCTCCCCATCTGTGAAATGGGGATAATGGTGGCACCCATCTCAAAGGATTTTGTTCAGGAAAAACAGATCATGAAATAGAGCCCCTGGTACTGACCGAGTCCTAGGCATACAGCAAGCATTTGCTCGATGTCAGTTATTCTAATTGTTCCATGAACCTAGATCAAGAATTCTTAAACACTTTTCAGGTCAATCAGCCCCAGGTGTTTTTCAGCAGGAGCATTTTTAAAGAAAATGTCAAATGACATTCCAAAAATATCATGGATTATGAACATCCTTATTTTAACTTCTATTTAATTCCTATTTTAGATGGCATTTCTCAGACCTATAATTTCAAGGATCTAGATAACACAGCTTCTAAAAATCTTACTATACTCGTTAGGGCTAGAATTCCTATTTTAGATGGCATTTCTCAGACCTATAATTTCAAGGATCTAGATCTAACACAGCTTCTAAAAATCTTACTATACTCGTTAGGGCTAGGAAGTTGACATTTTAAAATTACAGAGTTGATTGCCAAGTTATATGACTGTATCACTTGTCTGTATAATGTTTGGTTGTTGATTAATACATTCAAAGTTCTGCTATGTTGTACAAACCTGATTGGTTCACAAGTGTCCTGTTTGAATAATATTTCTGTAATCCTATAAAAACTCTGCCCCGACACTGAACAGGGCTGTGTCTACTCCCGAGATAGACAGCCCGGATGGTCGAAATAATAAAATCTACCTTGCCGCTTTTACTTAAAAAAAAAAAAAAAAAATGTTCAGAGTTCAGAGTTTTTTAAAAGTTTATAACACAAAACAGCAAACATGAAAAGAAATGTTCAGTGAAAGCCCTTTTCGACTTGAGTGATGCTTGAAGGATGAAGGGCTGCCAGCTCACATGACTGAGCTCACCAGCAAGGAGAACAGAACCCTGGTCCCCTCACTCACCTCAGGCGGGTGTTCTGTGCGGGCTCCTGCCAGGGCAGGATGTGGCCTCCACGGATGTGAAGATTAATGTGCTCAAGAGGGGCCTGCAGTGTCTTCCATTCTCCTGCTGAATCAAAAGCTGCAGCCTGTGAGCAAAAGGAGAGGCGATGACGAGGGCACGGCCTCCCCGGACAGTGCATTCAGCACACGTTCCACCGGCTCCCAGAACTGCCTGGCCACCACCGTTCATCACATACCTGTTATTACATTTTCTGTAATCATCTGCTTCACAGAAAACACCCAACAAACTTGTTTACACACCCTTTAAAATATACATCTGCCTGTCTGTTTCGCACCTTTATCTTGCCTCGTCTGACACCTTTATTCACCTTCATGTAACAATCTTTATGTTACCGCATGTGAAATCTCTTTCTTCATGTGTGAGAGATAGTTTGGGTCAGATAATTATTCGTTGTGAAGCTGTACTGTTTTACCCTGATCTGGGTTGGTCATACCCTTTTAGGCACTCTGGTGGTGACTTTTTCCTGGGAGATCATCGTACTGATACCAAACTTAGTGTGGACATCCATCACACTACAGCCCAGAGTCCATGGACTCAAGCCTTCTTCCTGCCTCAGCTAAGACTACAGGCTTGGGCCATGGTGCCCAGAAGTCTGGTCCCACGCTTTTTTGAGCATGCAGTAATTTTTAAAGCGGCAATGTCAATATCTGTCACTAGAGGGCAGTAGCAACCCAGTTCCCCACTCCAGGGTTTTCCCATAAGATTTTTTGACAAGTAAATCTTAGATCATCAGAACATGGTGAACCGCAAGTAGAAAGGTGCTCAGCATTCCAACACTTAGAACTCACTGACAGCTTTGTGCCTGGGCAAGACTGGGATTCCTATGAACCGCCAAAATGAATAGAGTGCAGATTTTAAGGAGGCCCATACTCTCAAATCCATGCAAAAGCAGGACCAGACCCACAATGCAGGGCCCCCTTAAACTATGAGGCCAGCATTTAAGTCTCCTTGCTTAGCCCTAGTCTAGGCCCTACACCAGAAAGCCCCAATATAGTCAAAAGGACTGTTAGGATACAGGACAGTCAACATGTAAGTTCAAGATCATGTGAAGGTCACTTAATATCTGCTCTCTCCCTCCATAGCCCTTGTATGGGATGGAAAGCACATGACTAAATTTTAATGGGTTTCCACCCTAAAGAGAAATCACCTGGCAACAAAGGAGGGGGTGACTTGGTGTTCTAGGACAGGGAAAGGGGGGGAACTCCCTCTCCTTTGTCCTTACCAGCTTTCAACCTGTTCCATGGCAGTCTGCTTGGCTGGGAGGCTAGTACATGGCTCTGCTTCTGGTCTTTCTTCTCACCGTTCTCTCCAGAGAGTCAGAAGATGGGGTACTGGCTAGAGGGCAAGGACCCTCCCTTTGGTCCTTCCTCAAGAATTAGTCTCTGTCTCATATGTGTCCCTCAAGAAACCACTGTGAAGTGGCTTCCCAGGGCCCTGATCTCCCAGCTTTTCTCTCATGGGCCAGGCAGGCCACAGAGAGCTCTTGTGGGTATCTATTTGTAAAGGAATATGTATGTACTGCTTAGACATGTACCTGAATGTACCTGGGAGCTTACTTGCCATAGGTAATTATATGGCGAATTCTTGCAATTCTATGTCACAGAAGCATATATTTGATTAAAAATCAGAAAAGAAAAGGTCTCTATGCTAGGAGCAAAAATTAGCTTATGGTACAATTTCAAGAGTTTACTTATAAGTCATTGCTGGGAATAGTAATGACATGGGAAGATATAAACTCTTATGTAAAAATCAGCCAACAAGCCAGGCCCTGAGTGAGCAGCTTCAAGTACCATTCACACATCTATGGTCTTGGTCTCACAACACTGGGAGATGAAGAAACATAGGTAAGCCATAAGAAAAAAGTGATTTGTGCAGGACCACAGCACAGGGCTTCCAGAGCCACGGTTTTCAACAGCAGGTGGCATCCATTTGCTGAGTTGTGTGAACATTTGGAGAACTTACCGTGTAGTAATCATACCAGCGGGCTCTGGGGAAATATGCAGTGACATTTGTGGCTTTCTGAAATTAAACACAAACAAGGTGTCAATAGGGAATCATTGTTGTCCAGGACAGAGGGACCAAGGTGCATAAGAAAGGGGTTACAGCAATAGTGAGAGCCTTGGGGCAATGGGCCTCGCTCTCCTGAGATCTCCATTGCTGGGGAAGTCATTACTCTCCTTCTAAATGGAAAAATTCCTAACCAAATAAATGTCCACCATAATAAGCCCTTTGGAATGCAGGACTTTAGCAACTAAAATCACCCTTTCCTTACAGAACTACTCTAGGCCTTCTCTAAAAAAACAAACACTCAGGGTTGACTATGGAGAAGAAAATTTTGTAGGTTCAGTAAGATTTGAGAAAGATAAAAAGCTTCTCTTTCAATCAGAAACTTAAGCATTACTAGGGGTAATTTTTAAAGTGATTTAGCAGGCTGCAGGGCCTCTTACTACAGGAAGGGAAAGGACAGCTACAAGCAAGATGCACATTGCTGTGGCCGTTCACCCAGCAAATGGTGACAGCATTGACTGACTGTAGAGAATTCTTTCTGCTGCATACCCCACCTGACCCTGAATTCCTTATTTTACTTAATGGAAGGAAAAGAATATCATTAACTAGACCACGAGGTTATCTTTGTTCTTGACTGTTCTGTGGAGCAATTATTAGGAAAACATTCAAGAAAGAGAATCTGGGGGCTGGAGAGATGACCCAGCAGTTAAGAGCACCAGCTGCTCTTACAAAGGATCCAAGTTCAGTTCCCAGCACCCATATGACAGCTAACAACCATCTATAACTCTGATTTTGGGGGTGTTCGATGCCCTCTTCTGACCACCACAGGCATTGCACAACAAGGTGCATTTGCACACATGCAGGCAATACACTTGTACACATAAAAAATAAAAATAATAAAGATATTTTTAAAAGAAAGAGACTCTGAGGGCATAACACCTAAGCAGTGAAAAGTTTCTTCTCAGAAACTTTCTAGAATCCAGGGTTAGCCCTCGCAGTTCTAAGAAAAATTGGTAGAATCCAAGGAAATGAGTTTTTTACGTTTTGGCTAGTACTGAAGAGAGAAATCCTCAGTCTGTCTCCACACCGCCCATAGCAGTGGGACAATGTATGTAAAAGATGAAACAGATGTGAAGAAATATACATATGTAGATTCATCTGTGAGACCAAGTTGTCAGAACGGAGAAATCGTTCTGTAAGAATTCCTATTCTGGCACCAGGGCTACCATAGGTGGCCTAGCCTCAATCCCAACATGCAATTGTCTTGATAAATTTTAATTTTCTTGGCCCAGTTACAAGAAGGAAAAAAAGGTGGAATGAGAAACAATGTCTCAGGATCCCCAACACATAAGCTTCCTCTTCTCTCTATTCACCCAGCCTGACAGTTGGGATCCTCCAACCCTCAATGGTCCCACACTCACAGGCTCCAGCACAGGGCTGACCAGGAAGGCTGCTCCCAGCAGGAACTGTTTGTCTACATCCCAGGTCACCTTGTCTGACACAAACCTAGAAAGGGAAATGAAGGAGTTATAACCAGATCCCTATAGGACCCTAGCCCAAGACCCTGAAAGAACTATTCAAGTTCAAACTCAGAAATTCGGCTTCATTTTGTGGCCTCTTTCCTCTCCATTTTAATCACGTCATGTAGACTCATCTTCTACAAGTCACATCTCCCAAACTTCAGAAGGGGTTTAGATACATTGTCATCTATAAAATATTCCATATGTCTTCACCATGGACCACTTTAAGTATGAAGATAACCCTTGTCCCTCAAATCCCTCCTTGGAACACTCCCTATGGTTAGCATAATACATTTTGGTCTGCATTTGTATAACTAAACTGGTACAAAAGATAAAGGGTTTTGCAGGTCCAAATAAGAACGTGTGTGTGTGTGTGTGTGTGTGTGTGTGTGTGTGTGTGTGTTATTTCAAAATATTTTTCTGCTCAATAAGCAGCTTTCCATCCAAGACCTGTGGTGTGTATAACACTGTTAAAAGGAAGGAGGGATAGGGTAACTTTTCTCCCTGGAGAACTCAGGACAACAGGGAATCATGCCTTCAATGTGGAAGAATTATCTGCATCAATTGCCATGATAGAGATTGAATGAATTATCGATTGGTCAACATGATTACTGCTTGACACTCACTCATGGAGAAGAGGCCTCACGACGGTGCTGCCCTCAGTGTGGGCCTTGTACATCAAGGTGTAGAGATATGGCAACAGGGTGTATCTGATCTCTAGCACACTTCTGGAAATATTCTTAAAGGCTTCATCCCATGATACAGGGTCTTGTCTCTAAAGGAGAATAATGAGAGTGTTCAGCCTCCACCTAGGCACCCAGGGGACTTACGGAGGTCACTGAATGCCTATTCCAAATGTTTGTACACAAGTAAACTGAAAATAATTGTGAATGAGACTCCAAGAATAAACTGGAAAAGATAACCACAACTTTCTTAGGAAAATATCTCCATAAGTCATTCTGCATAAGATATATTAGAAAAAAATGCCTTCTAAACAAAAGAATCATCAAAATAATATTGATATGGTTCACAGACAAGAGGGTTTAATGGCTTTGAAGACGTCCCCACGGAACACAGACAGCAGGAATGCAGCTAAGAAACTAAGGTAGCATCTCATGTGACACAACAGAGGTAAGGTAGGAACTGAGATCCCACCTTGGTCCCAATGGTGTTGTGGTTCCTGGAGAAGGGGTAAAAGGCTCCCAGCTGCATCCAGCGCACACACATCTCATACTCAGCGTCTTGAAAGAACCCACAGATGTCCGCTCCGGTCTGAAACAATGAGGAATAAAATGAGCCCCTGGGGGATTTCTGAGAAAAGCCGCCACCTTCTTGGGACACACATCTCATACTCAGCATCTTGAAAGAACCCACAGATGTCTGCCCCGGTCTGAAACAACAAGGAAAAATGAGCCTCTGGGGGAGTTCTGATAGAAGCCGCCACCTTCTTGGGGATGAGGAGTGTGCAAAGGGCACTTACGTAGGATATGCCAAAGAGGCTGAACTCCATCATGCCTGCAGGGAGAGGCACGGCAAGGTCAGGTCAGGCACCCATGCCCTGTCTCCAGCCCAGCCTCCTCCTCCTCATCTTCATCCTCTTCCTCCTCCTCTTCCTCTCCCTCCTTCTCCTCCTCTTCCTTCTCTCTCTCCGCCAAGGATCCCAACACCCTCCCCTGCCAGCAGAGGACCCAGGGAATAACCTACACACCAATGATAGATTTCCCCAACTGGTCCCAGGCAGCCGTGTTGTCTCCCAGCCAGTGTCCTGCCCAGCGTCCAGAAGAGGGGAACGTGGAGCGGGTGATGATGATGCCTCGCTTGCCTGTCACTTCCTGCACAGCTCTGGTTAGGGAAACAAGAGGTGAACTGAAAACAGGGCAGGGAAAGGAAAGCAACAGCGTTTCTCCTCCAGAGCCCTTAGGGTGTGGTGACAAATATTTGCCACATAATTGAAGGAAGTTTGATTTGGAATGGTCCTGATGGTTGATGGAGCTAATAATGGCAGTCAGGCCTTTTCACTGGTCTACAGTGAACTTCATCACGTGATAAACCCACTTCATTTTCCCCAAATAGTAAGCATTAACAGAATTTGGCAATTTATTTACTCAACACTTGGTTTTCTGTATAAGACAGAGGATAATTCTTTTACTGGATTGCACTTAAAATAAATTGTCTTATTCCTTGCCCACACAAAGTGGGACTGTGCTGATTATCAATAGACTATTCATAGACTATACGACAAAAATGAGAACAAAGGTGTAATAGATATGATTCACTTTTAAAGTAGTTTTATGGGGACTGGAGGGATGGCTCAGTGGTTAAGAGCACTGGCTGCTCTTGCAGAGAACCTGAGTTCGATTCCCAGCATCCACATGGCGGCTGAAAACCTTCCATAATTCCAGTTCCAAGGGAATTCAATTCCACAGGCATTGCATGACACAGGTGCACTTACATACATGCAGGCAATACACTCATACACATAAAATAAAAGTAATAAAAAAAATTAAAGTAGCTTTCTAGCATTGCTTTTCTTTTCCTCTTATAACTAATGTCATCACAGTACCAGCTGTATTGTATGACAGCCTCTTGTGTCTCCTTGTGTGTGCAGCACTGTTAACATCTCACTGATAGAACTCTGCTGTATGTAAATCTGTCTCCCCAATCATAATCACAAGGTCACAAGGCTGGCTCCATACTCATACTGTTTGGTTAGTAAGAACTGCTAGATAATTAATCACTAAATTCTTCTTACTCTTTAGAATGGAAAGTGAAAAGAAAATCAAGAAAGATACTGTAGCAATGACTGGCTGTCTCCACAAATGTTCCCAACTGGAGAAAAGTGAGTCACTCACTCGTAGGTGGGTTTGGTCTGAGACCACCCATACAGGCTGTGCACATCGTAATGTCGCACTCGGGTACCATCTGGCAGGATCTGCTCACCCTCCATGCACAGGGTCTTGCTGCTCAGGCCCTGGTTCCTGGCCTCCAAATCTGAGGGGAATCATTTCAGATAGTGAAAAACAGCCCTGATTCCTTTAGTCCTTGGCCTTTCTTCAACATATTAAACTGGATGATGAGACTAACCCAACCTCTGCCTGGGTCTGTCCCCTTCCCTAGGAACATGAGGACAGTGCTAAGCTGTGAAGTACAAGGTGTCTATAGGTGCTTTCAGGAGAAAGTGGAGGTGTGGGAAAGACCACAGTTACCAAACACATTATGAAACAGATCCTGATCTGAACTTTTAAAATGAAAATTATTTCCTATAATAATTATATGAAGCATATTTGGTTTTCTGAATCTTAACATATAGAAAACAGATCTGAAAATATATAATCTATAGAAGGTCTCATGAAATAATTAATGGAGTAAAGATATAAACAGCATATTTTCAAATTCCATCGGCTCCCTGAGAATGGAAAGTCCCTATTTTATACCCATTGGTAGTAAATAAAATTCCTGTGGATAAATTAGACTGTCTGAAGAACTAGCAAATCTATCTGTGATCACATTTGGAGACACTACTACTGTTGAATGTTTTCTGTACTGATTCTAGAAATTTGCCCAAAGGGTCCAGATTGTTGCACAGATATAGTCAGATAAAATGCTTGACATGCTTTTGGCTCTGGTCCCAGTAAAGAAGAGCACTTGAGGACCTGCCATGCAGAGCTCATGTTCATCTGAGCCATTGCCCTGCAGGTAGAGAAGGCTCAGGGTCCTTACGTGGCATGTAGGGAGGATGGTTCAGAGTAGCATCACTGCAGCCGGAAGGAGCTGCCCCAGTGACAAAGTTTGAAGGTTCGTTCATATCCTGTAAATGTCAGAGACATTGTTTGCATTCAAAGATACTTATAGCCTGTCAAATCAGAGACAAGGTGGACAGTAATTACAGCATTCAACATCTAATGATCCATATGGATCCCCCCATAGAACCACCATATTCTGGGGATAATTGACTGAAATGAGCAAGTCAACCCTACAGGACAAAAAAAATAATCCCTCATAACAAGCAAGGTTCCAAGGAATTTCTAGTAATTACCCCAAGAAGTTATACAACAGGAACTTCAAGGGTAGTAGCTATAAGGTCTGAAGAGGATGAGAGTTGGTCCACTCCCTAGAGAGGAGGTGCAAAGAATGTCCAAGGTCTTCTGTGAATGATTATCTTGACTAAAGGTCACTGATCTATACACCAAGAACATTATCATATAGACACATACTCAGACCTAGATGCGTGTACACAACCATCCATACACACTTACAATCCACATGCCATCGAACTTCAAGCTCTTGTCTGGACTCTCTGGGTTGGTGTAGAGTTCTCTGATCTCCCTCTTCCACCACTGGACAGTTGAATTACGGAAAAAGTCTGGGAAGGCCACATAAGCTCGGTATATCTGTAAAAGTAAAATATAATTGATCTGTCACAACTGAATATGTTAGACACAAGACATGCCCTTAATATGAACTTAACTCATGTGAAGTCGTATAATACATGGTGGTAGATAATGGTAACATGAACCAAGTCTATAGAATGTTTGTGGCTTCACAGAAAAACATTCAGAGCACAGATAATTAAGCACAAAATATACCTACCCAGCATTTGAAAAACATCTACAGATGTTCCTCTTCATGAATGCTGGTGATCAGCATCCTGAACTCACTAACTCGAGCGAGAGACCCTACCCTCAATCTCCTTGCCACTTCTTAAGGGCTTTCCAGAGACAAGGTACAAACCAGGGAGAGACTGGAATTAGGAAAGAGGACAGATGTGAGGTGCAGCACAGGAGGTGGGAGAAAGCATTAACCTCATATAGTCACTAGGAAGGAAGTTGGAGTAAGTTTACATGTTATGACATTGGACTGTTTAGTGATTCAGACTCAGATGGAATCATCGTGTATGGAATGCAAAGCAGGGGGACTTGAAAAGGAAGCCTCAATGTGCTTTTCTCTTCATCATCCCTCAAATTACAAAAGCAATGTCCAAGAGGAAATTTGGTCAAGGATTCACTCTGTAACATTTTCCACCATTTGAGAGCAAAGATCTTGCCTGGCATTTTCCACTGATCTTTATATTCCTCGGTGTGCTTAACTTAGAACTAGAACAATAATAGTTGGATTATAATCAGTACTCTACGAGCATTTATGCCACTCAGCAAGAAAACATCCACAGAAGTCTATGTACCCTCCTGTTGGTGATTCCTGGGCATTTCCTTACGATTTGTCAATTTAAAAAACTTTATTTGCTGCCTCATCGTAAGTGTCAAGAGCTAAGTGATGCCAGGGGAAGAGCCAAAAGAAGACGGGCACGGGCACAGTTCAGTGCTGCAGACAACAGTGAACAGTGAAGTGAGCAGAGACACACAGACCCAGAGAAAGCACCAACCGAGATGAAGAGAAGGGAAATGGAGCCCTAGCCATCTGGGACTCATGGGGGAGAGAAACCAATTGTAATGGCAGCACATGGAACGTTTGGGGAATTTCTTTTGTTAGGAATGAAGAAGAAACCATGCAGCTACTAACCAAAGTGAACCTTGCAATAGAAACAGAAGCCCAGATACAAGAGGTCAGAAAAACAATACATGGGACAGCATGGATGGAGAATCAGACTAAATGATCAACAGCAGCTGTGTTGCAATGAGATTCCATCACCTGGGGGACATATGTAAGCAATCCAGCCACGCTTGGTTTCTTAACCTCATTCAAAGCTGCTTTGGTGATCACTAGCCATGTACTCAGAAGGGTCCTGCCAGTCTCCCAGGAGCTGGGTCTACCTCACCCTGCCCATATTCAACTTGTGACTTACTGCAGTTTTCCTCCCTTTCCCTGACCTCAGTCACTGACTTGGCCACCGTCATCAGTGGCTCTGGTACTGCTTATCACAACGTATTGAAGGCTACATCAGGGCAGGTTCGGGATCCCATCTGATTATTACATCGAGGATCTGAGCCTCCTACTCACGAACCCATAATCTAAATGCTTCATGACTTTTTATTTATCTCTTTGTTTTACATTATCCTCAGCAATGGAATACCCATATTGACTTGACCCTTGATAGCTGCATATGTAGAACTTTCTGAGATATATATTGTAGTTGATCTATCTGCTGAGTATCCCTCATGAGTTACTTAATGTATTATGTGACCTCGTACTAATGTGTTTCTCATCAGGAGGCACAGTTGAACTTAGGGCATAAGAACTCTTTGTGAAGAATCTTCTGCAACAAAGCTATCTACAGCCACCACACACTTAATGTCACATAGTGTTTCCCATCACTGTGATACCAACACTGTCCAATAGGCTTCCAAATACCTCAAGATTGGGGTGAGCATGCCCTTAAAGGTTGACAAATTATAGAATCCATGGGTGATAGTCAGTCTCATGGGTGATGAGTCAGACCTTCTACCAGTACAGAGAAGGAAGGTCAGGGAGTCTATTCTCCAGATGTCTTTCACTTAATCCATTCCTGTATACACATGGGCTACCAGGACCACCAAATTCAAGTAATCTTCTGTGACAACGGGTGAAGAGAATAAGAAGCTATGTATTCTTCTTAACCCTTATCAAATGATAAATAATAGAGCAATCTAAAATTTCAGATAGATGGTAGATAGATGATAGATAGATAGATGATAGATAGATAGATAGATAGATAGATAGATAGATAGAT